GGTTAAGAGCATTTGCCTTCATAATGATAGATTGTATTTTCAAACTGTGTAATATTTCTATTTTTAGATAGAAATAAAAATTGTTTCCAGAATCCCTGAGGCCTGTACTTCCACTGAAAAATACAAACCCTCCTTTTCTTGCAGAAAAAAATATGGAGAACTGAGGCACTAGGCAGCAAAAAAATCCTTACAAAAATACCATAATAAAAATCTTGTAATAAAAAATTACCACTAGCAGCAGCATGAAATCTCAACAATTCTATATCACTTTTGATTGGCTGTGAGATAATTCACATAAATTGTAATACATGAATATTAACATTGGATTGAAAAATCAAATTTTAGGCTAGACAATTGCAATTTACAAGGCAGTAACTTAGAATAGGATATTATTGATCTTTTCCATTACTAAATTTATCTTCTTACCAGAAACTTTCAGAAGCTGGATTAGCTCACCTGCAAACTTCTTTACTTATATAAACAACACATTTTCCAGTGCAATAACTGGACAAATTGGCATATCCGCTAACAGGCATACTGAGAGCAGGCTTTGCTATGTCTGGTACCCATCATTCCAGTTGGTTTTTCCTTGTTAGTGCCACCAGGAAACAGCTGGAATACAAGCACAGAGGAAGGATATTTGATGCCTCATTCTACCTCCTAGAATCTGATTCTGCACTTCAAATAACTGGGATGACAGAAGTAGGAATAGGAGCATAAAGTGAAATTGATACTTGTCTGTTGAGGAAGTGAATTTGGATTACTTCAGGAGGTTTTGGAAGCCTGCTTTTACTTTGACCTGTTTCTCAAACAAAATCCTCACCCCTACTTTTGCTATAATTAGATGTGACTTCCCCTTTCATTGTTATATGTAATAAACCATTTATTCTCCAGAGAACATTTTAAGAAATAATAATAATAATATTAAATAACAACAACAACAATAATAATAATAATATAATCTACAGCTGTACATCAAAACCAAAACAAAAACCACACAGCATTTTGGAGAGGTTGGTCACATTGCTCTGGCATCTTTAATGTTCCCTTATACACAACTGAATGTATGAAGTCCATCTGTTTTATCTTATTCAACATAATCAACTTTCAGCGGTCATTATAAAAAATACGTTAGGGGCAGGTAAAGGGTGTCAGATCTGGCCAAATATGCTTTTAAATGCTTATATCTTTGAACCTGTACCCCACAGTCATTAAATAGCTTGAGCAGCATATATAAAAATGTAACTGCTTGCTACATGCAAATTGAATTGGTGAAATGTCATCTACAGCAACAGCTCCAATATTGTTCAGACAGGAGCGCTATGGACAAATGTCCGTGCTTCTTTTAACACTTGGCTGCATTTTTAAGGATCAGAAGTTGCAACTCATCAACTATTTCATTATGTCTGCATTTTAAGAGTAACTTTACTTGTCAGTGGGTAATCAGGCCACATGGGGTTCTCATGCACAAAAAACAATGTACAGGAATGGCCACAGGATCAAGGTCAGCCCAGTAGTAAAGACACAAGGGAGTGACTCTTGTTGTGGTTTTGTGACACCAGAGTACAGAGAAGCATAAGCATAATCTGCCTAGATATATGCTCTTTTATTCAAAAGCTGAACAAAGAGTGAATTTTCTGAGAATTTTTTCCATTCCTTGCTGGAAGTAGCACTGGCCAAGTTTTTCACTGGTAGGGAACATGATCAGTTTATTAGTAGACCAGTATTGGTTAGGAAACAATTGCTCTTTAGGAAACAGCTGCTGACTTTCTGTCTACTGATAAAATGGAGTTACATCTAAGGAAACTATAAACAACAAAAAAAATGTATACCTGGTAGCTGAGATTAGGGATGAAGCTTTAGAAGACACTGTCACAGTGACCTGTCATATGTTGTTACTGCCACAGATACATCGAACTTCATTAAAATTAAAACTATACTGAAATTTAATTGCATTTGTTGCCCAGACCCAACTAAGCAGTATTACTATGACATCTGATAAACCTGCAAAATATCCTAAATCACTCCACTCCTCCTGCAATTGCAGTGACTCACATTGTTACTGCTGTGGCAGTCTTGGAGGAAAAACATCCCTTTGGAAATTCTAATTATTAACTGACTTTTACTAATAGAAAACCTGCCATGCTTCCTATGCATTTGGTAATCCTATTTTATGATAATACATGCATCACTTGACTGATGCTTCACTCAGCCTGAAGGTGACTGCTGTACCTTGGAACATACCAGATCACTCTCAGACTTACTCTAGCCTAAGCAATACTATTAGAATTGCTGCTTATTCAGCTGGAGGGCTACAGACTTGTATCCAATTAAAAAAAACATATCCCAAATGTATGATGCTTTTGCAACGTTTTGACTAATCTGGTTTGTTGCAGTCAACAGAAAGTTGTCTGCAAAACATTTTTGCACTGCATCGAAATATTACATTGTCTGGTGTACCCCTATATGTATATATATACTTAAGGTTAAGCATAGGCAGGACCTTTTGTCACATAAAACCATGAGCTTTAAATATAAACAGTGGAAACATACAAAGTAAACAAGCATGCAGGCCACATGCTTCATTGCAAAAAACACTTCAGGGGACAAAAATCTACTGCTGCTATACAGAAACTGCAAAGAGGCATGGGATACAGAAGCAGGAGTGCTAAAAGTGAGACTTTGGTTTATGGCTAAATATCTGTTTGGCTCTTTTTGTTTGGCTAAACATAAAAGCCTGAATGCCAAGTAATGCCTGAAAAATAAGAGTGGAATTAAAACTGAAATTGCTCTGTGGCCTTAGTAATCTCTTCAGGAAAAAAATAAATTGATTCTTACTATATGGATAAAATCATTATCTGGATAAATTAAACTTACTTGTATGTCTTAATTTACACTAGTCATTAAGAATAAGCAATGGTTCTCTCTATTTAATATTTTTTGCTTCTTTATTTAGAATACATAGATATGTTGGAAATTGTGATTTTCCACATAGTGCTATAAGACTTGACCAAGAAATGTCTTGGTCAAATCACATAATAATGACACTTCTCAGTGACTCAGTTGTGAGTTACTACAACCAGACCCTCCAAGAAGCCTAGGAATAAACTCTTCTAAACTTTAACTGTTGTCTTTTAACAGCTATCCTTGGTGTTCTTGCAACCTGAGCCTGCTTCTTAAAAGGTTTTGAGCAAAGTAGGATTTAATCAGATTGTATAAGCAGTATTTTTAAGTGAAGAAAAGGTTAATGCTGTTCTTATACTTAACAGAAAATGGAAAAAGTAGCCACATATACCTATTGTAGGAACTTTCTCAGTAATATTTTTGTCTACTTTGACAATAAACATGATATGAGTTTCATTAAAAAGTTTCAAGTCCTGTAGGAATCTCTATGATTTTTGAGAAGCAGCCTTGGAGAGAAAACAAACAAACAAAAACACAACCAAAAAAACCCCACAAACAAACAAAAAAAACCACAACCAAAGAAAAACTCAGTAAATTTGAAGGGAAAAATACTGAGAGAAAAATTACTAACGAGATAAAGATGAATAACTGCCAAATTTAATGTAACTCCCTTTCAACACAGCCAACAACTACAGATTTGACTGCAGTGAAGAGGTGGAACAAAGAACTTCTGGTTCCCCAGGGAGAGATGGAAAACATCTCAAACATCTTATAATTCACACATTTCACACAGAACAGATTTACACATACGAAGTCTCTCTCCCTGATGCTACTAATTTACCCATTTTGCTATACTAAACAGAAGATGACCTGCATTGTCAAATCACAGACCTTGGTGCATCCAGCCTGAACATTTCTTATTAGTTTCCCTGTGGAAGCATACAAACATTTTCTTTCTGTTATGGAAGTCATTGGAGCTCCTCTGCTATTGGGTAAAATGACTAAGACAAAACTTGAGTGAAGAAAATTAGCTTTATTTATGTAAATCAGAAAAACAAATTGTTAGAACTTTGGTCAAATGTTAATTCTGTACAATTTACAATTATATTTATATACAAAACTTATAATAAAATACAGTACTTCACATTTTTCCTGAGTCCCTGTGTGTTTCTCAGTTCTGTAAATTTTTTTTTTTCTCCTTCCTTCTAAAGTAATTAAATTCAAATGTAAATACTATTCTGAGTTTGATAGTGTTTGGTTTAGATAATACTGGCATTAAGAAAGAAGTCCATACACTATATGTAGAAAATACTTTATAGCCATTGCAATTTTGATAGTTACCTTTCTATAATAAAATATGTTCCTTGATAAAAATGTTGATTAAATACTCCTCATGAGTTTGTCACACTTCATTCAACACAAGACAAGCTGACTTCAAATACACCCATCTCTCATTCTAGAGATACATAAATTTAGGTGAGTTGCATGTATATAACTGATCATGTAAAGATCAGGAAACACACATCCAGATAGAGCAGATGTCTGAATCGAGGCACAGTACATTAAAATTGCTGTCCTATCCTGGACAAGGTATGTAAGCTTCACCTGCCTGCCTAGCACAATACAAAATTCACACAAGGATACATCCTGAAAAGTGAGACACTGTCCAGCAGGAAGGCACCAAGCCTGTGAATACTGACATATGCATAGTAGTCCCACTATGTAAAGCACTGCGGAGTCTTCAGAGAAGGGTGGTTGAGCTGTTTTTAACAGCACTTGTTACATCTCAGCCAGCTCAAGTAGTTACTAGGGTTAAAGCTATCCATTTGCCTTCATTCAGTTAATTTTTTGAGATCAGCAATAATCTATTGTAAGGCTAACAAGGATATTTCACCTGTTTACTTAATGATGAAGTGTGCTAAATTAGTACTTAGGCTAGATTACAACCTGCAAGTAAATTTATGTCCCACTTAAATCCAAAACCAAATCAGGGTAACTTATTTTTGACAAATTTTGATATAAGCCAAAATTAACTTAATTGGCTAAGTGTGGGCTGCTCCTAAATGTATGGCAAAGCTCACTATATATATTTTTAATACAGGCATGTGCATTTCTGGAATTTTAGTCCAAAATAATAAAAAAATACAGATTACATGATCTCTGATAGATTTATTCACAGTATTTAGAGATGTTTAAGAAGTCTTATGCTAACAGAAAGTTATCAAAGGTTTGCTTTCTCTTAAAAACTTTCTGTAATACCTCAGTGCAAACAGAAATACATGAGAACAACTGATAGTGATCCTACTCCGATTAGAAATTAAAAGAGAATTTTTTTGCTGTTGATATCAAAGTGCATAGTATAACAATATCAGATGTTAAAGAAAATTGGTCTTTAGCTGAATGCTTGAACTTTTTCCAGGATTCTTTGCATGTTTAGCAGTCTTCATTTTGATGCTTTCTTGATTGCCTTTTACAGCTGACTCAAGCCTGGCTTTCATAGTTGGAGAGGAAGCCATCAGTTTTTTAAAAACTGCTGAGTACTGTGGACCAATCTGCATCAGATTTTGCAAAGCAAACTCATGTAGATTTTTTGCTGAGTTTGTAGCAGAAACCAGGGCATTTTCATCCAAAAGAAAGGAAATAAGAATAGGAAGAAGGCAGGCCACCAAATGAGCACCTGTAAACATTGAAAACAAAACTTAAACAGACACTTTTAAAAACAGCTTCAGATTCTACCTAGAAGCATTTCTCTGAGTTAACATTTAACACAAACTATAAAGCTGCAAATGTTACTTGAACTGCATGGTAAAAAGAACCAACAGTCTTGTTAGCAATTAGTGTTAAGGACTGGGTTCCTAGAGGTAATTTTGTTTTAATTTGTTAGCTATGGCAACTTTCAGCATGTCTAATGCTTTGGGTACTAGTAATGGAAGTAACTTACGGTGCTCTTCCTCAGCCATGGCTATAAGAGATGTAACCAACTTTATTCCCTCCTGAATGACTTGAAGTTCTGCAGCATTTTCAGGTTTTGCTTTTTCTGTTTCCTGCAATTTTCCCACGATGGATGGTACTAGAGAATGAATGTAAGGATATGACACAGTTTTGTTTGGATGCTGAAAGATGGAGTGCAGCAGCTGGTAGCACTTATACTGCACCTAAAGGAAAGATCAAATTTGCAGTTACAAAGGGTTATACTTAAAAATACATGTCAGAGAGTTTCAAAAGTCAGAGCTCACTAGACAAAATTTTAGGGAGGGTGAAAAACGTGCCTCACAGCTTCTAAATTCATCAGGTTGCAGGCCTCTAATGCATAATACTTTAAAGGAGCATTATAACTAGAAATCAAATTATTAAGAATAATTATGTCATGCTTCCTTTTTCTTTCCACTGTGTCCTACACCTTCCTACATATTTAAATTAAGGAAAAATATTTTTGGGTCTCTAGCTTGGAGGAGACTGAGGGGCAACCTCATCAATGTTTACAAATGTGTTAAGGGTGAGTGTCAGGAGGATGGACCCAGGCTTTTTTCAGTGTTGCCCAGTGATAGGACAAGGGGCAATGGGCAAACTGGAACATAGAAGTTCCACATAAACATCAGAAAAAACTTCTTCACTGTGAGAGTGACAGAGCAATGGAACAGGCTGCCCAGAGAGGTTGTGGAGTCTCCTTCACTGGAGACATTCAAAACCCGCCTGGACACGTTCCTGTGTGATGTGCTCTGGGTGATCCTGCCTGGCAGGGGGGTTGGACTAGATGATCTTTCAAGGTCCCTTCCAGCCCCTAAGATTCTGTGATTCTGTGATTTTTGTGTGAAGGTTATGTCTTAGTACTGATTTGAAAATACACTCTTTCCTGCAGAAAAACAGCTGCTGAAAATATAAACACTACCTCTGTCAACATATAGGCACAATTTTTAAAAGCCTCAAATGGTGCAGTAGGTTCCATGTCACTAGAAGTCAATAGAATCCAAACTGGCAAGTTCCTACACAACTTCTTAAAGGCTCAGATACCTACACACATAGATAAAAATTGCAAATCCATACTGACATTTTCTTGCTTTCACATTCTGAATCCTCATTTTCCTATCAGTGCAAACCAATGTTTATACTACTAGAAATGTATTAATATAATAAATTAAAAAGTATTTTCTTACAGCAAAATCCTAAGTTAAAGGTAACTTTGTTTACTTTTTTGTTAGTACATGAATATACACCAAGATGCAAGGATACCAGTTTACAGTGAATTCCCAAACATGAAAACTAATGCATGTTATTTTCAGAGTTGGACTTTCAGAGTTAGGAAGTCCCAATTCATAGAAAAGCCACTTGTATTTGCAATAATAATAAATACAATTATTTTTTCCCAATACTTTGGATTTTTAGATGAAGAATAGTAACAGATGAACTGCGGCACTGCAATCTAAAGTAACGACATAAAAACATTTACACTAGGCCAGAACAAGGCATTAATGTAGTTCAATAGGCTGCCTCCAGCAGTGGCCAGGAGCTCATGCTTAGGGGACAGTACAAGTCATGTGGCTCCCAAAGACCCACAGCTGAGGGTTTTCCTGAGCAGAAGATAGTATCTGTGTGTTAAAGTTTAAATGAACAAATAAAATTAAACAGATGCCTGACAAACTACACAACTCTATTGGGTACTTATAAGTGTAGGGGTGTGATGACCCATCCAACTCTGAGTACGATGCAGTAAGAAAATGAAAATCATAGGAATATAGAATTATATACAGAAGAAAACAATTATAACATCCACTGCTTCACAAGTTCTCACTAACTAGTTCAAACTGTGTTTTAAATTACAAGAGACACAGTCAGGACATAATTAACTGGAATCACACACAGGACGAGCAAAACAACTGAACAGAAAATAAGCTAAAATCCCTTTAGTATGATACCAATATTCTTATAACTTCACCAGTACTTACAAGGGGATCTTTTGAGGCAAGTGTTATTTTAAACTTCTCAATACAACGCTTTCGAAGGCACTCTAAGGTAGTAACTTCTGGACTGGTAGATATAATAAATAATGTAATAGCAGTAAGCAGGCTAACTTCATCAAGTTCTTGGAGAAGCCCATCTACTGTCAGTAAAATAAGCATTCTGTTAGATTTTAATTAAAAAATAGTTCTGTGAATTCTAGTGTTGCAAAGAGGTGGAATAGAAATGTGAATGTCTACAATTCTTCAGGAATCTCTTTTTTCAAATACATGACATACTCTGATGCACTGATATGGGCTTTTACTGTAATAAAAGCCAAGGCCAAAGTGGGAATTCAGGAGTGGTTATATGCTTATTTAGCATTAACAGCATACTCCTATTCCATTGTTCCTCTGTATAAAGCACAATAAATAACTTTGAACAGCTGGTATGACATATTAGTGTACAACCTATGCTTAGAATTATATAAACATTTGCATTAAGAACATGTTTTCTTTTGCTATAATTAAAAAAAAAACTGTTTACAAAAGTTCCAACAACAAATTACAACTTAGAGATTAAACATAAGGAACCACAGAGGTACTACAAACTTGGGAAGTTGAAGGAGCAGCACACAGAAAAATCACTTTCAGACAAAAATATTTTTCCTTGAACTACTGTTTGAATACCTTTTACTTAAATGCAGTCACTAATTCTTTGTGGAGAACCTGCATGCAGTACAGCTGTCTTTTATGCTAAGCTGTACACTGAGGCCATAACTCCTGTTTATTCCATTGTACCATGTAAGTACATTGTGGCACTAGATAATTGAGGGGTAAACCTGCAGTCCCACATTTACAGATCATGACTTCTCAGATGAACTGCAGGGGCAAGACAGCACTATAGATTCAACAGTACAGTTCAAAAGTAGCCAACTAATTCTCCTGTGACTTAAGATACTAGTCTTTTTTTAAAATATGCATGAATTTAATTTAAATAAAACCAAACAGCTCCTCATCCAAATACTTTTGTTTTGTTTTTTAAACACACAAACCCAAAACTTGTGCTTACCTTGATCCCAACAGTCAAGCACTGTGATCAAAGCGCTACATAGAAGATCAGTCCAAGCAGTCCGACTCTTCTCTGCTCGAGCCATTGGAGAAGACAAGAGTCCTTTAAGAGCTTGTAGAGATGCAGCAACTGTCAAGGGTAACTGACCATCTTGCACTTTCACAGCAGTCTCTTTAAGTACTCCAATCATTAGGTACAAGATAGTAGGAAGAACTGAAACACTTCCTGTAAAACAAAGCAAATTAATTTCACAGACATTAAAAAATCTGAAGCAGCTTTTTTGTATCATCTTATTTATCACCCTTTTAATCACCTATGTGAATGGAAGCATGGGTAATTTGAAGAAATATTTTAAATGTCATGTGACTTGCTACAGACAACACGGAGTTCAGACTACGTAAGGGAAGTTAAACCTTTTCCTCATTTAAATTAGCATTACATACCTTTTCCTTGATGACTTTACTAAATGAAGTGTGAAATTGTTTCATCTTCAGAGAAAAGCACAAAAACATCAGAAACACTGGGAAGCAGAAGAGGAAAAGCTATGGAAGTATACAAAGTACTGAACAGTAGAAAAGAAATTCTAAGTATATAAGCAGATTTTGCAATGAAGACAATATAACAAAGGGAATTAACAGAGGGTAATACCAATACCAGTGAGAGGAAATACCAAGTACAGGGTCTTGCACTTGGGTAGGAGCAGTCCTCATTATCAATACAAGGCAGGCCATGGTGTGATAGAGAAGAGCCCTGCAGAAAGGGAGTTGGGGGTACTAGTGGACGAGAAGTTGGACATGAGCAAACAATGTGCACTGGCAGCCCAGAGGGCCAACTGCATACTGGACTGCATCAAAAGAAGTGTGGCCAGCAGATCAAGGGAGGTGATTCTGCCCTTCTATTCTGCTCTTTTAAGACCCCACTTGGAGGACTGTGTCCAGCTCTGGAGTCGTCAACACAAGAGGGACATGGACTTGTTGGAGCGAGTCCAGAAAAGGGCCACAAAAATGATCTGAGGGCTGGAACACCTCTCCTACAAAGAGAGGCTGAGCTGGGGTCGTTCAGCCTGGAGAGAGGAGAAGGCTCCAGGGAGACCTTATAGTGGCCTTCCAGTACCTGAAGGGAGACTAAAGGAAAGCTGGGGAGGGACTGTTTACAAGGGCTTGTAGTGATAGGATGAGGGGCAATGGCCTTAAACTAGAGGAGGTAGATTTAGATTAGACATTAGGAAGAAATTATTCTAGTGGTGAAGCACTAGAACAGGTTGCCCAGAAAGATGGTGGAGGCCCCATCCCTGGCAAAATTCAAGGTCAGGCTTGACAAGGCTCTGAGCAACCTGATCTAGTTAAAAGGTCCCTGTGGATTGCAGGGGGGGCTGGATTAGTTGACTTTTAGAGGTGCCTTCCAGCCCCACATGTTCTCTGATTTTCCCACATGATGTGTAGTTAGCCAAGAAAGTCATTGCTCCAGTAAATCACTTAATTCAGTAACTTAGTAAGATTAGTAAGAAGAGGATCTCAGATTAAAAAGGCATCACAAAAATTCCTAGAATTATAATAAAAAACCTTAACAAATATTTTTGAAAAGTGAAGACCTAAGAAGAGAAGCAGATTGTCCCACAGCCTACTGAACAGATCTTCATCTCTCCCTGAGAATCTGATAGTTGATCTATCTAAATAAGAGTCTATTTCAAAAAATATTAAAAAGTCACAGGAGTAACTTGGCATAGCTGTTTTGCATATTCTTCTGTCTTTGAATCTAACAGTAATACAGAATTCTGTACAGATTGGAGACCATCTAGAAACTGTATACTTATGTGTTGTTCATGATTTAGCAAAAAGTTGTGATTTAGCAAAGCAGAGTTAAGCACATGGCTTTACATGCTTTTGTTCTTCCCTAATCAGTAAAATGCATATATTTTTAAGATTTTAATACCCTGATGCTTGTGAGAGCCCTGTTGAATTACGGAGGGTCTCTGAACCTGAGGACATCTACCTTCTATTTACAAACAGTCAAGTCTCTGAAAATTGGCTGCTGGAATTCTGCAGGAAATGCAGTTCATGAGCCTCATTTATTTGAAAATTCTATTACGAATACATATCACGACAGGTGCCTGAAGTAAGAGACATGGTAGTAACAGGACTGTAACTTCAGTTACCTATTAAAGGGGGGAAAAAATTATGCAAATCCACATTGGAATACTCTTCTCTTTGATTATATGAGTTGACTTTTGGAGATGCTTTCTTATTTGACTGACTGTATAAGCAAGCTTAAGCTCCTCATTTTTGTCACCTGACTTCAATGCTTAATTTCTCTAGCGTAAACACCCCATTTGGTCTGATCCTACAACCTCTTATCTTGTGGAATAACTTGAACAGCTAAAGACAAAAAGAACTACAAGGAGAAAAAAACCAATCACATTCTTTTTCATGAAATATCAAATTATTTCGTAACAAATTTCATATCTAATTATTTTCCATGAAAGATAGTTGCCCTCACATCCAAGTGATGCTATGTTTGTTTCCTTTTGCTTTGAACTGATAGATAATGAAGTGCAGATTGGAAAAAGAAATCATATCATCACCCTACAATGACAGCAAGAACTACCTACTATTCCATTCGGAGTATACTATCCCCCAAAGACGAATCTTGTAACAGAGAACAAATTAAGGAAAAAGAATAAATTTCCTGGGTTTGTAAATGCAAATATTTGCATAGGGTCTAACACAGATTCCTAAGGTGGGAACAGAGGAGTAGGGGAGAAATAGTTTATAGGTGTGGCTGTAACAGCACTGAAAGATCATATGTATGAATACAATATTGGGGGAAGGGGCAACCATCCTAAAGATTGGAATGAATAAAAAATTAATCATGAGGAAAAGTAAACTAACCTGAGAAATCAACCATAACTCCTTACAGTGGTTCCTAATGATGGCTTTTAGTGAAAGGTAACATGATACATCTCCCTTTTAAATTTAATTCATGTCTGCATTATAAATTCCAAAATATACAATTCAAGTAGAATAGAATCATGTAGCTACTGTATACTTCCCTGTATAAAATTAATCTATTAATTGCACTGTTACATGTAGAAGGAAAAGAAAACTACTCCTTTAATTGCTTCAGTTTTGTAACTTGTTTTGTAATCTGACAGTCAAAACCACAATTAAAACAGGAAACTGTCACAAGCAAATAAAGAAAACTCGTTGCCAGATTTATTCAGCTGAGAAAATTAGGTAATAAAGTGGAGGCTCAGAAGAGCCCAATATTTTTTCATTAATCTTTCTTTGTGATGAAACAGCATACCTTCAGGAGAGCAGATTGCAGGAACATCAGAGAGAATAACTAATGCTGCTGCTACTAGTCTGCTTCCATCTTCTGACAATAACAAATGTTTTCCAGATTGAACTGCAGGGCTACAAGTTAATTTAGGGTTGAGCTGGGGAAGCTGTCTGACAAGAATACAAAAACACAACTCCAGTGTTGCAAAGACTAATGATTTCCCAGGCACCAGTCCTCCTGTGTCTTTGCCTTCTCCAAATTCTGGTAACGTTTCCTTTTCTGCAGCACCATCATCAACTAAAACAAAAAGAAGAAACATGGCTGAAATCTGCAGGCTGAACTTTGTTTCCAGAAAGTTTACTACTTAAGACTGCTTCATCACCAAGTGATAATCTTGCTACATATATTTGTGCATTCATATGTGTTTAGAGTTCTACTGGCAAACATCCATCCTTTTGAATAAGCAAACTATACACTGATGGTCAAAAGGCAGAGGTGTGTGCAACAGATTTAGACTTACAACGTGCTGAGGCACCAGGCCAATTTGATGTCACCTGGTGTTTTGTTTCTTCTCCCAGTTCTTTTCTTTTAGAAAAAGAACTCTAGGAAGTTACAATCTGTGAAATCTGTCTTGTAACAGCTGTGTGTGCAGAGTCACTCCATTGCTCTACTGCAGCTGATCCTAACTTTTCACTAAGATTTCTCTGCCCCTGACACTACACAAGACTATCCCAAGTGAGTTTCTCCAGTTTTCCTCCTCACTTCTTGCCTTCTAGTCACCACCAAAACCACCTGCTATCTATCATATTGCCTCAATTTCTTATGTCAGGCACTTGAACTGACTTAAGTAAACCAAGGTTAGTCACTAACTGGGACTAGTTAGTCACTTCAATTAAGATTAATCTTGGGATATCACCTTCAAGAATCCAGTTTTCCAAGAAAGAATTGCTTTAACCCTTTAATATGTATTCAACATCTCAGGCATTACTGTACCTTCTGCACTTCTCCGCTTCTCCTTCACGTGTTCCTGAGCTGCAAAAAGAATCAGCCGAACCACTTCCAGGGCAGCAAGCTGAATTTCAGGTGATTCTCTGGTCAGTATCAGTCGATGTAAAACATTCAGCAGCTCTACACCCAGCTCCTACAGTAAGAAAAATGCTTAATATATCCCCAGTTTAATGCAGGAATTTTAGAAACAGGTTAATATTTGTGAAAGCCAACAGTATTACTCTTATTAACCTCACTAAGAAACACAGCATAATTGATACAACCACAGCAGTTGGCATTGTCTTCAGCATCTAGCAGCCCTGCTCAGTTCTCCCAACAAAATACTAAACATGGTAATTTAGAGATACAGCACTTAAAACTATTAAAACCCCAAGTAATTTTTATCATATGGCTTTTTAACTCTTTAAAGTAGGGTTACTACAGTGTATCCCTCCTACAGTATATGCATTTCCTTGCAGAGAGCACCAATAGTCAGAACTTAGGCAAGTCCACAGGCTTTATCACTTCTGCTGTGTTAGACAATTGCATGGCACACAGGATGGTATAAAGCTTAGTTTAAAGGAGAAGAAAAAAAAAATAATTCTGAAATTATTACTTGTTTTTAGGATCTACTGGTGTGGATTTTTTTGGTTTTGCTTTCCCCCCCAATCACCCCCAATACCACTGGTTTTTGTTCAGTTTCCTTTTATCATCTTCAATATTTTCAACAGAATTAATTCAACTGTCCCTTGACAGAGTAAGAGAACTTTTTTTTTTTTCTGGAATTCTGTCTTTACCTTGCTGTCATCCTACTCATCTAATTACTCCTTCCAGACAAAATGTATTCGAGTTCTCTGCCCTCACTGTCATCCTACAGGTGCCACGATGTGCTCTTTTGCTCTCCTCCCTCGACAGCTTTGCATTTTTGCAAAGCATGTAATTTACCTACTACTTGTTGAAGATTCCTGGATATACTATAGAGAATAGAGATAATGTTCAAAAAGAAATTATGCCTTAACTCTGGAGTGCTTTTGATCATTAAGACATTACCTGATCACCACCTATTTTTGACCTCGGCCATGGAACATCAAAGAGTGCCTGTAGGGCCCGTAAACAGGCAATAATACTCTCCATTGCTGCATCTGACCGAGGAGAGCAGAGGAATTCCACGCTAATTCCTATAAGTATCAGAAGAAAAAAACACTTATTTGTTTGAAATTTTAAGAAGTAGCTTTGTCAATGTCTAAGTGATCTGACAATAGGTTGAGCAGATATAGAAGAGCATTTCCATTTTAAATTGAATTAATCTCTTATTGCTAATATCTTGGGGCAAGAGCTCTATTACCTTCAGAACAATGAAAGAATTTCGGTATAAGACACTATTATAACTGGTATTAACATAAATAAAGAAAATAAAATAGTAGAGCAATTTCAAAGTAAAACCACAGAATTCTAGGGCCAAAGTACAGGCAAACAATTAGTAATGAATATATTGCAGAATATTTTTCTAATCACACTGATTTATATAAAAGAAGGAAATAACAAGAGAACATAGTAACAGTTCACAAACTCAAAGGCTAAGGTTTTATCTTCCCATTTTACAAAAATGCTAAAGATCACAGCTACCACAACTGGATCACAGCAAAAAGTAAATTACATAAAGCTAAGCCTGCAAAATCCTAGATGAGATTAAAAACAATCACTTTTCTTCCTGAGCTTTCAGTAGTCTTCAGATGACATTTTAGAACATTGGAGATAAACTTCATATAGACTCTGATCCATATTCTCATCCCAGTTGTACAGCTGTAATTCCTAACTGTGTGATGTCTTGGGAAACTGCTCAATGTACACTAAAGAACTGCTGTGCAATGGAAAGTGTCTGAGCTTTAAAGTCCATTCAGTTTCTCTGTAGGAAGTGAAAATGTTGAACAGCAGAATAAACAAGCCAGGTGTCCATGGTAAAGCACATGAAATTTGAAGTACTAATCCAGTAGCAGAGGAAGCAGGAGAAATGAGCAGCTTTTGTATCAGAGGTCCCACTTTGAACTCAGGGAGCAACAGGCTTCAAAAGGAAGCTGGCTTGGTGCAGGAACACTGGGATTCAAAGGAAGCCATATGCACCTGGGTCATACAAACCCATTCCAAAAAGGGATTACAAAAGAAGGATACAAAAAAAGAGGCCAAAGGAAAACGCTGCAACCAGAAATGTCTAGTTGCGTAAATTTAGGTAACTGGGACTGAATTCAACTGCCTGATTAGCCTCTGCAGTAGCAGAGGCCTAAACAGAGCTTTATGTGAACTTAATGCAACACTTTTTTACCACAAGGGTGACAAAGCACAGGTTGTCCAGAGAGGTTGTAGAGTATCCATTCTTGAAGATAACAAAAAAACAACTGGACAAGGTCCTGGGCAACTGGCTTCAGGTGGCCCTGCCTGAGCAAGGGGTGGGGGACAGATGATCTCCACAAGCCCCTTCCAACCAACACACTATTCTGTGATGTATAACACTGTACAAAGATCCACTCTTGAACTTGCAGGTTTGTAGGCAGAGCAGTAAGCACTTGTGTAGGATTTGTTTAGCTCATACTGAGTGTTTTTTCTACGATATTTGGGAAACACACTGTACAATTTTCTCACTTGGATTTAAAATTCTTCTGATTGTACATTCTTCTAAGAGAGGCGATATTCAATGATGCATTTAAATATAAATAATTACATATCTGTTTGCTAACAGTTTTATCTATTAAAATGACATTTTGGGTTACAGCATCTGACATTATGCACGAACTAACCCAAGAGAAGATGAAATCTGTCAGTATTCACATCCTCAGGAGATTTCACCAAGGGTCTGGTAGAAGAATCTTGACACATTGTAGTCGGGGTGACAGGTCTAGAGAGATTAGTAACTCCTTCATCTGGATCAACAACAATGAAACCTGTGCTAGTAAGCCATAATGCTGTAGCATAAAGTATTAGTGCCCAGGAGTTGTAGTAATGAGGTCTGGCATTTTCAATTGTCTCTGCTGTATAAAATGTACCACCTACAAGAAGAGAAGTTCCAGAATTAAGGATTTAATTTATTTTTAACTACGATATTTTCTCATTCTTATAAAAGGGGTTCTTCTTTTCATTGACATTATCTTTACCTTTTTTTATATTCTGATGTGTTTTTTTCTTTTAAATGCAAAATATTAAAATTTGGGCCAATTGGATTTATTTGAGTATAATCCAATACAATGACCTTTTTCTTCTTTCAACCATGAAATTGCCCAGAAAGAGTAACAAACAAACTACTTTTCTCATCAGTGAAACCTCTGTTCTCAAAAGCAGCTTTTATCTTTGGACAGGCACACAAGTACGTATTCTCTATACAATTTACTCTTAACTGTGATCTTAACACAAGTCAGCTAGGACATTAATGATCTGCACTTGCACATAACTTTTGAAAATACAATTGAAGTGTCTTCTTACCTTCAGCAGGTAGTTGCAATGCGTATTCTGAAGGCAAAGTTAAGAGAGCAAAATCTTGAAGTGCAGCAAGCCAGAGTTTGCTCAGTGTTCCAAGATCTGCCTGTACCAAGTCCAGAAGTCCAGTGGCTGAAGATGTTACATCTCTGTAGCCTTCTTCTGCAGAGTTTGCAATGTTTAAATGGTGGTTTTGTGCATCACTTTGATTTTTCTGCTTTTCAACTGCAACTATGTAAACCTGTTTATATATTTGGAGAAAGATATAAATATTAACACTTGGAAAACTACTGTGAACATTAGCATATCTGCCAGTTGATTGGGCACGAGACTTCCTAGAATCTATTTCTGCTTCAAGTCCAGTTGGCATGGGCAAACCTCCTGAATCCATTCCCCCAGCTAATCTTTACACAAGAGTCCCAATAAAATGGAAACCTACTAAAATTCCTAAATATAGCTGCAGTTAACTTCCCTGCTCTTAAATGAATATATATTGTCCAGCTTCAGCTTCCAAACATCAAACCATGTTTTAGCTAGAAGACTGAAGAACTTGCTATCAAATAATATACTTGTAAATGACCTTGAAGCTACAGTCAAATAGTTCCTAAATCTTCTTTAAACTGATATGACATATTGTACTTGCAACCATCTTCTCAAAACTATAGGTTATTCTGTGTTAGCAGTAAGAATGAAGAGTACAGTCTCGCATCATTTGTAAAGTTTGGGTGTTACCATCAATAAGTTAACTTCAATGTGAGAAGGTTAGTTTCCCTTGATGGTTCCCTAGCTATTGGAAAAGATAGACTTGAGAATATTTCAGACCAGCAGCCCTCCCTGGTCTCTCCAAAATGCCCCTGTAAGGAAGCTCTTCTCCTTAACTATAAACGAGACACAGGAGACAAGTTCAACTAAAGTTAGCTTTTGTGAATATTCATCTCCTGCAATTATGATTTATCTTTCTCAATTGTATTAGTTGTACTGGGTTGACCCAGGCCAGCAACAAAGCAGCCACCAAGCCCTCACTCCTCCCTGCAACAGGATGGGGGAATTCCTTCAAATTCTGGAAGTAAGAAACAGGTAAGATCATAGAATCATAGAATGGTTTGGATTGGAAGGGACCTAGAAGATCATCTAGTTCCAACCCCCCCTGCATGGCCAGGGCCACCTCCCACTATACCAGGTTGCTCAGAACTCCATCCAATCTGGCCTTGAACACCCCCAGGGAGGGGTCAAATGTTGGACGTCCTAGCAGAGAAGGAACCACCTGGGGCTTAAGTGAAACACTGGTAAGTAACAGGTCACAAAAGCTTATCCCCAGTTTACTTTGTCATAGTTTCTCTTATCTGACATCCAGTAGCAAGCTACACAGAGTTTGCTTTTAAGTCTTCTAGTTATCTTAATTATAGACCGGAGCAATCTACAGATCTTCACTTCTTACAGTAAAGCCTCACATCTAGTCTGATTTTGTCTCAACTTCTGACTAGTAATAGGTTATTGTCATATGTCCTTAAAAACATTTTCCCCATGTAATAATTTTAAATTGATCACAGCAGCATATTTGAATAGATGAAAAAGACTGATCTACTTAAATCTCTTGGTGTAATCATGTTTTCAAGATCTTTATTTCACTTGCTAGCTTTTCTGCTGAGGCTCTCCTATTTTGTCAATGTCCTTTTTCAGGTATGAAAACCAGAGGTTGGTATGTTTTTCTACAAATGTTCACATAAAAGCTATATATTGCCTGCTTTCTCCCTCAAAAATAGTTCCTTGGTTATATACAGAAATATATATAGAACATGCCCATATTTAGCTGGTTATCAACCATCAGCATTCAAGGTCATTAACAATGCCTTCTCAGACACATCTTATAGAGATTATGTACATTTTTCACATTTTTTATGTTAAGATATGTAACCTTGAATTTACTTGTGTTAAAAGAAGCATTCACATGAGCTGACTTTAAGGCAATGCAGCACCAAACTGAACTTACAAGAACTACCTGTAAGAAGTTAACGGCCAATAGACAATGAGAAAAATCACACCTACTTAAAATGGTAGGTTCCGTGGATCATCACCACACCCCCATTAATACCATGCCAATTAAAAATGAACATTGGAATATTGGAACATGTTAACAAAATTAATATTTCTTAAGTACTAGTATATTACAAACAGTTTAACTAGCAGTGCTTTTGTCAAGTTTACAAAGCTCATGTACTGCTTCGAGGCATCAAAGAAAAGCAAAGGACCAGCAAATTCTATTTAATGAAGATTGTAAGAAATTCCTGAAACCATTCTGTCTGAAAGGTTCTAATTTACCTACCAGATAGCAAGACTATCATTACAGAGCTCTTGATACTAACCTCTGCCCAAGCCTTAAGCACAGCCAGTATCTCCATAGTTGAGGTGCTTTCATTATATTGTTGACTTTGTGCTTCTTTCCCAGCCTGAACTTTGACCAAAGAGGACACAAGCAACTGGTGAACCCTTCGAAGGTCATTAAGATCACTTACTACACCACTTGCTATCCAGGCACTGCATACCTAGTGTTGTAAAAGAGAAATTATGAGAAAAAAGAGCCAATCCCCATTGGATACTCTTTTTGAAAACCAGATATATCATTTCCACTGAGATACAGTTACTCTCAGATAATAATAAATGTTAAATGACATTACAGTTTACTATACATAACTAATGAAAGCCAAAAACTTTAGAAGGATGGGCAACATTATTTTGTGTGCAGTGAAAATTTGAGTCTAGATGATTTATTTCCTTTTTCTTGTGCGGCTTATCAAACAAAAAGATAATTTCAAAGGGTCTATTACCTAAAACTTCTGACTTTCAACACTTGCCTGACATGCTTTTGCTGTGACATCAGGAGGAGTTTCAGGAGCAAAGGCAGGCCTAAGTGCTGCTCCAACCTGAAGAGAAGTTATACAACATTTAATACATGATGAAGAATTAACTAAGTAATTACTTCTTACAAGCAGGCTTTGTTGTCGTTTTCCTTTATAAAGCATAATTTCCTTTTCATATTTCTACAGACTCTCTCAGTGACGTTAAAGAGGAGGGAAACAGTTGCAGTCATATTTTTATTGCTTTGTTTTGCTTATACTGATGACATGATTCTCTTTGAAAATGGTCTTCAAAGTTGAAGGTATTTTTTGCACAGTCTAAAACTGAAACAGAAACCTCTTCCTCCCTGGACTCTTGACTTGATGAGCAGCCCTCAAAAGAAAAACAGTTTTCCAAACCATGTAAGACTTGCAAGACACCTAATGAGTGACATTTCCTTACTTAGAAACAATACAGATTTAAGGAAACAAACAGCTGAAGGTGGTCAACGTTGCAAAGTGAAAGAAGGGCAGAGCACAAACCCCATCTGCCTACTAAAGAAGACATAAACGTAAACTTACCAGGTTGCAGACATTATACCTACTCACTACTGAAAGCTATTTCACTAGAGGCTAAAGAAAATTTCCTTTGCTGCTTTACCTGATATCGGAAAACTCAGACCTAAGTCTGATACTCTTTGGGATGAAAGTACAAAGTGTAGTACAAGTACTACAAATACAGGTTTGTGAAAATAAGTGAAAAGGAGTTGTTTTTAATGACAAGTAAATGACAGCTTCTTAAGACCCCCTAAAGCACAGACTTCATTTAAATAACTTCTGAATAAGATTTCAGGAAACCATTACTTAAGTCTGGCAAATCTATACCCAACTATTTCTCTTCATTGTTATGGAAAAAAAATGACAAGGAAAAAACTAGATATTTAACCTGCTTTATGGTTTTGGACAGCAAGGACAGATGGTGTATTTTTTTCCCTTGGTAGTTCCAGACTACTTTCCCACAAAGAAGTGCCAGTAGAATAGAATTTTAATGGCAAAAGCAAAATCAAGGTGATTTATAATGTCTTCAGTGTTGGGATCTCTCAATTTCTGTGAGAGAAAGTAATCTGAGTAATTTGACTTATTCAATGCCTGCTAGAAATTGAAGAATGGGAGCCAGATGAGGCTAGACACAGATGCCTGTCACATTTAACACAAGTGCAGTCTGGAATGCCAAATGATCAGGACATATTTTATCTACGTCTCAACCAAGACTTAACTAAAATAGACCTTGTGAGTACAATCCATGCTTATTTACTGACCAAGATTCAGTGTGATCTCTGGTGTGCAAAGGCTACTTACTTCTAAGTAGAGTTTTAAATTATAGTTGTTCCCAATATTTCTTGCCATACTTCCACACTTCAAAACCTCTGCTTTCCAAAAAAAAACCCCACCCAATGTTCCATTTTCTTTTTGCTGTATTCAAATAGGGAAGAGGGAAAAAATGCTGAAACTTGAAAAACTTTGGGGCTAAAACATTATATGCCAACTGAAAACATGCTTTCTAAGAAAGTTAAATCTAAGAAATTGGTAACAGTTTCAGTACCTAACTGAAACTCAACTCTAGCACTATGCCCTGCAAAAAGCAAATTTCTTTTAGTGATTAACTGTAACTCTTAGCTGTTTTGAGTTATTAGCAATGGTGCTTACATTAGCCTGATATTGCTCCAGAATTACATGACCTGGGAACTCTGGTTCTGGAACAGCCGCAAACTTCCGAACAACAATTAGCAAAGTTTGAAGCCCAGAAAGACGAAGTTGGTCACTGTGATCTGTGGCAGCCATGAAAGCCATACGGATCAAGTCAGCTAAATGCAAAACCAAAAAGTCACCTGAAGAGAAAACGGAAATAGAAAGAAAATAGTTTTATTTAATTTAGATGTAGACATAATATGTAACATATAATATTAAAATATATAATACATATGACTGCTACCAACACTTTCAAAAAGTTTATCTTACATTTTACCTTACGACATGTCAAGGATTCACTCAAGGTGAATCTTACACATAGATCAACCTCACTTGGACTTCTTATGTTAGCTGATCTAGGCTCCTTTCCATTTGAATGTAAAAAAAAAAAAAAAAAAAAAAAAAGTACTTAGAATAAAGCATAAACACATTTATGAATGAGGTAGATTTTCTAAAAAGAGTTTTGTGGAAAACACCTCCAGATAAACATAGAGATATAGAAACTTGTCACTGTGTTTCTACTGGTAATCATGCAAATTATGGAAAGAAAGGGAAGTGGAGTTTTTTTAGTCATACTCCCATACACCAAGCTGTGATGTTGTAGGCTGGTGCCAGTATCACTTCCAATAGCTTGTGCAGAAACAATGACTTCCTATGCATATGCTATGGGACTGTAACCAGGAAAGTGAGTGTGAATGCTCCAGTGATATGCTAATGTTTTGGCACATAAAAATTGCTCTACACCTTAATAAATACAGGCTTCTAATCAGAGGTATTATGACCTTCAACAGTTAAAAACAACCCATTTCTGATTAATTTAATTAAGCTGCAAACAGCTAACATTTATTTTACACATACATTGCATTCTGTGAAATTCTTTCAGTGCTTAACACATACCTCTTGAATCACGTTGTTTTCTTTCCTGAGCCAAAGTTATGTCAAAATGTGCACTGCCTGCATTTTCACACTGGCTTATAATTTTACAAACACACTCTGCAGCAAAAACTCTGGTAGACCATCGTGGATTCCTGAATGGATGGAATCTCTCATCACTGTCAGACGTTAATACAGATGCATCGTCTACTTTGGCAGTTTCCTCTTCTTGAGTGGTATCTAGTGAAGCTACTGTATTGAAATCTGTATTTAGGACAAAGCAGGGAAGAAGAAGTACAATATTATTTCTTATTGTAACTAAAATCTACAGGACTCCTAAGAACATCTCTTAATAAGAAAATCTCTTCAAAGTCCATCTCTAGCCTCCACTCACTATGACCCCCTTCAATCTTGATGTTTTACAGTAAATGCTAGGATTAAGAGTAAAATATAAAAAACTTCCAGCATATGGTTGATATTACCTGCGAAGACAAGATCAACACCACAAAGGTAAATTAAGAACTGCAGCAAAAGAAATCAATGAAAAAGAACCCATTTAAAATCTAAATCCCACAAGTTTCCCTTCTGCACTGCAAGAAAATTCTTTTTTTTCCGCACAAAAAATTCTGTCCAGTAATTAAATTTATCTGCTCAAGAGTTTAATTATGATAGAGTAAGTCTGCATAAATCCTACCATTAATAGAAGATAGAGTCTGAGTATTTTTCTTGTAGGAAATTGCACAGGACCCACAGCTTAAATGTATTCTGCACTTTTGACACAGAAATAAGTTAATAGTAGGGCTATAAATCAAGAAGCATATGAATAGGCAAGACATTCTAAAATGTTTACACAAGCTTATTCAATAGGGAAAAGGCAATCAGAAGTGAGAAAGTCATACTTCTTCTGAAAAAACTAAGTCAAAGTGTCCAGTGTCTCAATATGAAGGATGATGATACACTTCATAAATGTCAAGCACTCAAGAAACAAGAATACTTTCCCCCAGTGACATACAGTGCTGCTTCAGGACTTATTTTCATTGTATTCTCAACTACAGTGTATTAGGACTTACCAGCTGAGGCAGCAAGGACATCTTTGCAAAGCTTCAGCCAAAAAGAGAGCTTTTCAACTGCCATTGAAGTAAGCATATGAGTCAGAGTTTCTTTGATATCTTGGCACAGTCTTTGATCCAACTCTTTGTCCAGCAAGCTCAGCAATGCCCCCTCCAGGCCTATTTCTCTGATGTTAACATCTGATAAGAACAAAGTCTGTGAGCAGTAGCAACCACATAAACCCCACTGAAGGTTGCACACAGAGTATCTTATGAACAACAATTGTTTAGCTCTGAAAAACTTTTGAAATAATTGCTTTAATACACTATCTAAATTATCTGAATACACAACAGAAACATATTAACAACAGGAAGAAAATTATCCCTAGGGAAAAAAAACCACCCAGACTCCCCTCTGCACTTCACAGCATTACCATAACCATAGCATCTGAGCTCCTGAGCTAAAGTATCTTTGGCCATTTGATTCTTCACACTTATTCAGAAGGTAATTCTAAACCAATGTTTAAACTTGAAAGAAAATTAAATTATTCTTCAACAAAAACTCAAAACCAGACACACAGAAATAATTTGTTAAATGCATATGACCAATTCTTATTTGCCCAATATTGCCAATTTTAAAAATCAGCATTTTTACGTAATGAAATTTTGTAAGGATATTTTTCTGAAAACATCCAAATGAACTTAAATTGAAATTTAAAGTGAAATGATTAACCACTGCTCCCTCGCAGGAAGGCAGATGAGGATGAACTAGTGATCATTTTCTGTCCTTTTAGCAAGAAATCTAAACCTTTATGAAGTTAAAAATTCTAGGGATGCCAGCTGATCTTTACTTAACTAGTTCTCAGTAGAGGTCATAAGAAACTTTATTCAACAGGATTTGTAAACCCTTCCTCAATGACAGATTTTTAATTTAAGATCTATGTGGGAAAATAAAATTATTAATATGCATGTAAAATGCAGGACTATGAAGCAGTTGCTACACCAGCTACTGGCTAGGTAGGCTTAAGTTTCTCTGTAACTTGACTTTCATTTTCTCATTTAGTGACCCCTACTAACCACAGTGTATGAAGAGCAACTCCTTCACTAAGAAGCCGTTTCAATGCTTCCATAATTTGATATTATATAGAGAACTGAAGCAGAAAACCTTTGGAGAGTTAAAGATTTCAAGAATCATAAAATCAGAACTGTTTGGGTTGAAGGGACCTTAAAGATAGTCCAGCTCCAACCCCCCTGTCACCTCCCACTAGACCAGACTGTTCAGAGCCCCATCCAACCTGGTCTTGAACACTGCCAGGGAAGGGGCAGCTTTTATATCCATAGTAGAGTGTGTTTAAAATTCACTATCAATGTGTCAAGCTCTTTGATCTCAAAACTTCAATACATTACCTGGAGTAAAATCTTCTCTGCTCTCTTTAACTAATGCAACAGCATATTCTGATACCTCTGCAGCTTCTCTTTGCACAAGCTGACGTAAGCAAGATACTACCGACCGTCTCAGTAATAAATATGAGCTACAGAGATTCATCTGAAACATGCAAGAGAAAACAGTAAGATGGCTAATAAATCTTTACAGCAATACCTCAGTAATGCTAAGGTATTTTCTGAATAATTGCAGTTATGACAAATCTGTTAAGTCAGCAAGCATGTAATTGATGTTATTTTTGCTCAGCTCTTTTTTTTTTCCCCCACCCAAGGTCAAACGAGAGGTTTTGCAACTCTTGTAATCAATTTCAGTACTTTTAATATTTTCCCTCCAAAAGTAACTTATAAGACTGGTTTAGGGCCAGATCCAACTCCCACTGACACCAGTAGAAAGAACTCCACTAAATTCAGCAACAGCTGAATCTGCGGGCTCGGTGATCAATCAACTCTGCTCTTTGACTACAAGGTATATACAAGGGCTTGAAAACTCAGTGCAAGATAAAATTACCATATAATCCTTAGATGTAACTAGAGAAATGCCAGTGTAACCATGGGTGTGATAGTCAATCAGGCTTTCATAAATCTGAACTCCATGAATGAAAAGAACTTTATGAGAAAGGGCAAAAACAGGACTGCTGAAATTTTGTCACCAAAAATATTATATACTCAGACTACATTAAATGATGTTTTAGAGAAGGTGGGAGAAAGGATGAGAGCTACTGGTGAAGGTATCACACTGAAAAAAGCCAGCTCCCCTGAGCAATTTCTACCAAAAAATTCTACAGCACCACCATATTTTAACACCATCAGGCCAATGTTTGCTTTTTTTTTAATGCTGAAAAATACAAGATAACAAATTCATTGCTACAGGAACAAGGAAAAACACTAACAAAAAGACAGAGTGGAGCTTTCTGATTTTTACTTGCTTGCTCTCAACTTCAGTTCTGAATGGAATCCCAAAGATAAAATTAATCAGGCCAGGCAATTTGTGGCCAGGCAAGATAGCTGCACCAATATTTATGCAGCTTCCTTTAAATTAATTTTAGTTTATCATCAAAAAGGTTATTCTCTACAACTAAGGAACTGTGTACTCTTATCAGTCACCACCCTTAAAATAGACAAAGCTGAATGGCTGCTGCAGGGACACCTTGCAGTAAGGTCATGCTCCTGATTAGTCAGCAACAGGTCAATACATTTTTGTCAAAATTACTAATAAGTATTAGTTAACATACAGTTCAAAAGAACAACTTAAGGACAAAAAGAAATAAGTGATACAGAATTTCAACTTTGTTACATTAACAAAACTAAACTTCATCTTCCAAATTTCTATGGATGAACATTAATCAACAATACTTAAAATTACATATTTAATACACATAAAGGTTTTCTCTCGGCATAATTATTTTAAAAGAAAATAAACCTGACTTGGTAAGTATGTTTGCAAGATACTTTAACTGAAACTTTAAAAACAAGTGAGGCTTTTAATGCAACAATTCTGCAAGCAGGCTATACGTTCTACTGCAAGTTGGACATGCATAAATTGCGTGCTCATTTTTAATAGGGAAAAACTAGAGGATCCGATTCAGGATACTGAATAACGCAAGATGCACATTCTAAGTTTCTCTCATTCTCCCACATTCTAAGCAGGGGACAGGACTAAATAACAGACACAAAATGCAAGCATCACATACAAACTGAAATGAACAAACAATTCCCTTTCTGTGCTTAACATGTTAAAAACAAAATTACGCCTCACTAAGCACAAAAATGAAACATATGTCTACCATCTGCAGAAAGTTAGGAAGGTTCTGGTTAGGATGACAATCAAATGTCACTTGACATGCTAAAAGAAATTGCATTAAAATGGTTAAAAGGAAAGATAAAAGATGAAATAAATAAAAAACACCACTGCAAACTGCAAAATTTTAGGATTAACAAGGCACAGGGACCTACCAACACAGAATTATCCAACAAGATTTCCTGCACAAAAACAAATGACAAACCAGTCATGACAAAACCAAAATACAGATATCACAGTGATATCAACCACACAAGGAGACCATTACATGTAAATTCAGCATGTATTAAAATTCAGAATCTTACCTCAAACATACCAAACCCTAATTTGCTTAGTTCATTTACACTATATATTCAACACACTTAAACTGCAAGTCTACTGCCCCTAAATTTAGTACTCAAACAGTACCAAAACAACAGCACAGCAAAGTTATTTGCATTGTACACTTATTGTGTTTCAAAATATCTTTAATGTCTTGCAGCTGAAAACTCGTGTTCACTACCTCATAAGCTTATACAAATAAGATCTTTAGAAGTCTGTGCTCACATAGCTTTAAAGCTAATGTTAGACATAATTAAAAGCATATGATTTCTATTCTGCTGGAGCCAAGAACATAAATGACAGGATAAGCATTACACTGTTAGATGCAAAGCCCCGTGAAAAAAGATCCAGTTGACAAATAAGGAATCATTTGGGAAGCTGAAGAAGGGAAGCTAGATAATGGCAGGCAGATGTACACAATAAAAAAACCCCAAACAAAACCAAAACAAACAAAACCAAGCAAACAAAAAATGAGCCAGTGTCTCCGTTGCCAGAGTCATAATTTTTTACTACTAGAATAGTCACAAACGGAATGGTCTAAATAGTTTGTGGACCTGAACCATATCATGCTCTAGAGGGTGGGAAGACAGGTGGAGGAGGCAGCTTGCAGCTGCACACAGCCATTTTGTTGGAATGCCTAATGCTACACTTATAGAGAGAAAAAAGAGGAAAAGAGAAGAAAGAGGAAAAGGGGAGGGGGGGTGGAGGAAGTATTTCTGTTTCAGAATTTTTAAAAGGCACATTTGAAGAAAGAAATTTTCCAGAAACCTTGGGGAAAAAGGATGGAGAGGGGAATTGGTTCACATTACTTAAAAAAAAAACCTATCTTTGCACATTTGTTTTCAATATTTTATGAGTGAGAATTTGTATTTCTATGGACAGAAGGGGAAAAAGATCACTCATTTGACCATAGATTCTTTATTTCTTCTGTTTTTCTGCCTTAAATTGAGTGCAGTGGTGAATATTCACAGTATCTAGCACCCAGCTTTTATATTCCTCCTGACAACTTCAAAATGTGTTGCAGAAGAGTTCCACTTTCTTCTCCACTTGCAGAAATTAAAACTCATGAAGAATGACTTGCTGAGGGGTCACCTTGAAGGTAACTACAGATTCAAGAGCAGACTTGAGGTCCAGACCAATAGCTCATTCTGCTTCCCTAGCAAGATGGTTATTTAATGGGCAGAAGCTACATGGATGGATGGTGAATTTTAAAAATTCAAAAGTCTGTTTGTACAAGGACCTTCTCAGAGATCTACAAAGCAGAGACCTACTGATGTTTACTGAATCACTAACAACAACCTTAGCCATAGTTTTGTAGCAGTTCATCATGAGAAAAGTTCACCCATATAAGGCTTGGTGGACTCCTCCCCTTTGAAGCTCACAACAGTTTCTGGGGTAGAGGTGAACACACACATGTGTACAGATGCACAAACACACACATTCCAGCCACGAACCGTGCTTCTTATATGAGTAATTGAGTTATTATTATCAAGTTCGTAAAGTACTGTATGAATTACTTAGAGACAATTTGTAAAAACAATAAAAATCATCAGCATTGTATTGACAAGCCAACTTTATCACAATATCCTCTATACTAGTAGGTACCTGCTACTGGAAAGATCACACTGTACATGGACTTATATATGCTCCCAAATGCTAATACATCCTCTGAGCAAGAGACTGACTTACATGATTTGCTGTGATTTTATCAATGTAATAAAAACTGTGGTTTACCCAGAGAACAGAAAATAATAGCTGGCGTATATTAGAAGAAAGAACACTTCAGGTGAGTTGCAGTTCTTCTGCAATTAGTTTATCTATATCTAACACAATGTGGGGCTGAAAGAGCTTCTTCAATTTTTTCTGGTACCCACAATCATGTTTCTAGTCACACTGAATAAAAATACACTGAAGGAGTCTAAACTTTATACAAAATCAATATATGGTTACTATGGATATACAAGAGATACCCAGAGGAAAATGTGAATAAGAACTGTGTTAAGATAGACAAGAGAGATGAAAAACAACCCACCATATTTTATTGCCTGTGTTTTTTTGTTTACCTCTGATGTACAGGGAGACTAGATGATCTTATTTAAAACAAACAAACAAGTCCCCCGCCCCCTCCCAATCCCTAGCTAGCCCCTGAAAACCCACCGAGGCTAGTAACTACCAGAAAATTATTTTTGCTTCCACCACAGAACTAAGCGCTTTGGAACAGCAGCTATTCAAGGACAGAGATACTTTGGGGAAAAAAAACAAACAACAAGTCATTCCTTCACTGAAGGCATAAAAAGCAGCAGAGTAAAAATACTGGCCCACATAAAATGCCTGGTTAAAATCTGCACAAAGTTGTAATGGTATATCCTGCTAGACAACTGGCCTTAGTAACAGCAAGAGGATGCACTTGCAAACAGTTCAGAAAGCCAAGCTTTCTACAGAATGTGCTCATTTTGTAAAGGGGAAGCAGAAACTGGGGAAAAAGATGAAAAAAATAGAGAATACTTGCCTGTAGGAGGATATGAAACAACTCATCCCTAAATAATGATCACTTTATCTGGTAAAATAACCACCTGCATTTTTTAAGAACAAAATGCTTTAAAATACAAGGATTTAGAATAGTAAATGTATACTCACACACAGGCAGCTTACAAGGCTAGACAAGTTGACATGTCGAGGAGCAAACATGTGAAGCTGCTGAAGGCAAGAGATTGCTTCAGCCTGAACAAGACAATCGGGATTATCCTGCATCACTGCACATCCAAGGAGACAGGAAGTTCTTAAGGCTGAAACTGTTGTACTGCTGCCTGTATTTGGCAGAAGAAAGGGGTTTGGTTTTGTTTTTAAAACATACACTCTTTTTTTTCAAAACATAATAGTTTATCTTTTTCCCAAGCCAACCATAACTCTCATCCTCTTGAAGGATACTTTCTGTATCTATGTTATGCTCTGGTGGCAGTGAGTAACAGTCACATTGCTGTGTGGAAATTTCAGTGCCAGGTATCTCAAGTTTGATTTAGAAGTAAATTTTAAATATCTGCATCATAACTAAAACAAAAACTGGCTCCTAACTCTTAAAATGATGGCAAAAGGAGACACTATTTTTGGAAAACTAGCAGTCCTGTCATCGTGACTGCATAAACTCCTGGGCTATGAAACACCATCTTACAACCAGGAAAAAACTTAGCATGCACTTACTTGTTGATAAAACTTGAGTTACACATTCAAATAATGTTTAGCAATTTTGTTGCTAAAAGAAACAGAGCTCACATTATTGTTTATTGCATACCTTGCAACTCAGGACCCAGTGTGGTAATAAGTGCATTTAAACAGCGACCAAGGCTTTGGTGAACTTCAGCGTAAGCAGGAGGCACAGTCAACAATAACATGAGGACAAGAGACAAGGTAGGTTCCACATGGACGTGATATAAGGGCCCAGCTAGATCTACTATCAGTGACAGCGAATGTAGTGCCCATGCCTGTAAAATAAGAGAAGCAGTCATGTTAATGTCTTTACAGTAGAAGAGACTTTAAATAAACATTTTAAATTTGATAGTTCAAGTGAAATTCAGTGATTAAGTGCAGTAGAAGTTGCCCTTTTAGGTCCCAAAGGGACAAATGAAGAGGTTATAGAAAGAAACTTTAAAAACCTGATGCTTAATAAACCTTTTTCAGTATTTTACAAGGAACTGTATGTCCTGCAACAAAAGAATCATCTTAAATTTCTCATTGTTAATTAAAAAAAATATCTATGGATCTATGTTTTTTATTGCCTTTGCTGCTCCAGCCATCACCCGTGAGGCAGAAGTTGTGAAATATTATTCTTACAAGAAAAAGCACTCCAAAATATAAATCAGTTAATTTATAACATTACATTTTTAGATAAGTGACAAATACCTGTACATCAGGAGAAGTACTGTCCTGAGATAAAGTATAAAGGATCCCAACACATGCATTCAGGTGCTGACTAGAGCCTATTCCTCCTAGGTACCTGTACAGACATCCCAGAGCCAAAGAATGACCTGTTCTTGATACCATATCTCTAGCAGATTTTAGCCTATTAATTGTAAGGAAAGAAAGCTGTTAGTGTAATCACCAAGACTGATACTACTTAAGACACACATCTACAAATGGAATTTCTAGTATACAACTGGCAAAATATTTTATTATACACTGTTATATTGCCAAAATTAATTTATCATCTCTTATTTGAAGGAAGTACTGAAAATACTTTAGATAGACTTAAATAATGTTGCTAGAACAGCAGCCAACTTAATTTCTTTGAAAGTCTAGATGCTCACTTAGACAACCTTCTTACAGACCAGCAAAACTAAGAAATACATGGAGAACTCAGGAGTCCTGTTAATTTCTGAAGTGAAATCAAATCTGTGAAGGAAACCAGCTTTTAAAAATTACTACCATAATATCCCCTATTATGATTTCTCAAACATTTTTATTAACTCAATTAGTAATTTACCACACTTTTTTTGAACTTACTTGTCAAAACTGACTTGTGCTAATCCAGCAGTGAAGGCACTGTCAGAAACCACCTGTGCCAATCTGGCCAAACACTCTGCAGCAGCACACCTTAGGAGTGGATTATTGCTTTCCAAGGCACCCATTACCAATGTCAGGGCAGACCTTCTAACTTCTTCTGGACCTAAACTTCCCTTGCAGTTAGCCAAGTGCTAAAAATAGATAACAAATATATTAAACAACACAATGGTATAGTAATCAGAATATGCTTTTCCGTCAGTCATGAAAAAATTGCACAACATGCAGGAGGAATTTCATTTTCTTCCCTTTTTATCCAAGGAATTCCTCTATTTTTATTTGCTGTTTTGAGAGTTAGAAGTCTAACTCCCAAAAAGTGTACATCACAGCACAACTTTATAGTATATATATTCTGATTTTAAGAAATACTGGATAGATTGTAATAGAACACAGAAAATCAGCACACTAGCATAAATTCAGGAAATAATATCAAGATGAACAACAGTGAATAATGACCAGGATGACACAAAGAAAAATTCTAGACCAAAAAAAACAACATATGAGCAAAAGCTACAGCAGTTATCTGCATTGCATATTAAATATGCCCCAAATAAAAATGTTGTACAATGGAAGGCCTTTTGCTTAGTTTCAAGAAAGCCTAAGAATGGAAGAATGAAAACTGCACTGTTTTAGCAACACAGAGGGAGAGACAAATGAAGGAGAGAAACAAAGGCGAGAAGCAAAGGAGATTTACCTTTAAGGAAGTAGAAAGGGCTGACACAACATTTAGCTGCACTATTTGTTGCCGTGATCCTTTTGTTTGCTTTATGGAATTCAACAACTGTTCTAACACCTGGAGCCTTAAACAAAAACGGAAAAGAAACCACAGAATTAAAAATTAAGGAAACAAAGCTTTTTTATTTTATTTTAAAACACATAACAAAGCACATATATTATTAAGGGAGGTTCTCCTCCCCCTCTACTCTGCCCTAGTGAGATCACATCTGGAGTATTGTGTCCAGTTCTGGGCTCCCCAGTTCAAGAGGGACAGGGATTTACTTGAGAGTCCAGTGGTAGGCTATGAGGATGACTAAGGGACTGGAGCACCTGTCTTATGAGGAAAGGCTGAGAGACCTGGGGCTATTTAGTCTTGAGAAGACTAGAAGACTGAGAGGGGATCTTACTGATGTCTACAAATATCTGAAGGGTGGATGTCAAGAATGGGCCAGTCTCTTTTCAGTGGTGCCCTGTCATAGAACAAGGGGAAATGGCACCAATCTACATAACAGGAAGTTCCACCTCAACATGAGGAAAAACTTCTTTATTGTGAGGGTGACAGAGCACTGGAACAGGCTGCCCAGAGAGGTTGTGGAGTCTCCTTCTCTGGAGACTTTCAAGACCTGTCTGGACACGTTCCTGTGTGATCTGCCCTAGGTCTTCCTGCTGTAGCAGTGGGGTTGGACTTGAACTTCAGAGATCCCTTCCAACTCTTATGATTCTATGATTATAGAAACAGAGGTGGAACAAACCTACTATCCTAACTCTTAAGCATTTTCCTTCAACTGGAATCCTTGTCTTCCATATCAGAATAGGTAATTACTCAATGAACATAAAATTTTGATATTTGTTTCCTTATAATATATGTATTCACAGATAGTAACTTGTATCTAACTAATGTTACATAGATGATGTATTTTGGCTTGTAACTGAGAAAGGAGGAGGGCAAGGGAGAAGAAAAGGAAAATGCAGTTATCTGCAGCAATTACTTCAGGTCTTGAGAAACAGGTGAAAAAAACCAACCAGCAACCTGGTGACAGTAGAGGCAAAAAGCCCAGACAAACAGAAAAAAACCACACACACAAAAAAGCCAGTGAAGACAGAACACAGTAATCCCAAGCATTCTAAGCAGTGAAGATACTGAGACTCAGAACTCAAATGCTGAGCACTCACCCCTTGCTGGAAATTACCAAATCATCAAGACCTACAATGATCATGGACTGAGGTCTAACAACAGTTGGCTTTGAAAGTATAAAATTGTTCAATTTTAAAATAATCTATTTCCTCTAATGCTGCATTCAAGAAAACTGTGAGCGGCTTGCAGAATAACTAACAGCATGCACAAATCTTGAGGAATTTCATGCCTCAGCAATCACTGTATATATGAAACAAAACAAAATGCCATGTGTGCAGTAGGAAGATACACACACACACAACCAAGAGAAGTTTGTGATCCCTTTCAAGCATTCTTATGTCTTGACAGAACTGTGTTAAGACACACACTCTTGTTTCTTTCCATCTACTTGTCTAAGGACAAGGCTTAAATTTTAATAGAGACTCCTACAGCTTTGGCGTCTCTTTGGTTTTAAGGTATTTAGTAACTATGTATTAAGCACTATACTAACTGCATAATATATCTTAAAATAAATCCTGTTTTGATCTGGCTATTGAAACAAAACATTTATCTGGGTAAAAATAATGTGTTACAAGGACAGTGACCTCTTACTGGGTGTGCCTTTTCATTGTGAGTAACATTACACAGAAAGTATAATAATTTTTAGTCCATTTCACATTATTCAGATGGTTTACAGAATCCACTTATACAATTCACTGTTTTCCCAGAATTGTTCTCTTCTATGTTCAATCTCAAACACTGTGACCATCTTCTAGCATGTCCCGAACTCCCCGACAGTTACAGTTACTACTTTACCTGTGAGATTCTGCTACATGGGAAAACATAACTCCAAAAAGACGAGTTGCTGCACTGATAACAGACAATACAGGAGGTAGTGGTTTAGGTACTGAATCACCTTTTGCAGCTTTCTCATAAATTGAGTGGGGGTCATACTCCAGGCTGCCACCAGCTGTGCTGTTACCTAAAAGGAGCTGTAAGGAGGAAAAAAGACACAGCCATACTTCTGATGAAGTCAAAACTGGTACTGATCCAAACAACTAGAACTGTATGAAAATTAAATACTACCATGAAGCTAGATCAAAAAGTACCTGCTCTTCGATAAATCGGTGGTCAGTCTCCTGCAGTAAGGGACCAAGTAAAAGGAGATCATTCTCATGACAAAGGGGTGGAAGCAAGAACGTAGAGGCGTCGATCTGGCTATCTGGGACAGTCAGGTCAGCCACTAACTCTTTTAGAACAGCAGAGAAGCTTCCTTTAAATTAAAGGAAAAAATATTCAAACTTTTTGGTTAATTACTTGCCACAAGCAAGTTTGGGAATGAGATAATGATACTGAAATCACAACATCCACCTACCATTTTTTCTTAACTCTTCAAATAATTAACTGGAGAACATTCTTTCTACAGGGGAAACAACAGAGCACTACCTAAAATATGCAAACTAAGCACATCAACAACCTGGAAGCTGAAAAACAAAGACCTTTTCCTTTACAGAAGACACGATGCCATACAACTGCTAATCCAGGAAGCTAAGTTACAATTAGAGGGAAGGCAGTTACAAGCACAGACAGATTTTCTTCTATTTCCTGAAAATTAATGCTGTGGAATGCTTTACATAAATGTGCAGGAATACTTGGACTTGGCAAGCAGTTGTAATTTAAAATGGCCATAAGTTTGACACATAACCAAAAGCTGCAGAATGTACTCCCCTGTTTGAGGACTTTGCACTCAAAAAGCAAAACATGAAGAATTTATTGTAGGTTATATTATGATAATTTACATTGGTAGTTAAAACTTTCACATATTTTTGTACATAATATTTCAGACATGACTGTGCATTATACATAAACAACAACATTAGGCATTCTGAGTCAGACTATTTTAGGTTATTAAAATAGTCCCTGCAGTGGGAGAACAACTCCAGTGCTGAAACACACATGATGAGAAAGGTCTGGCTTGTCTGATAAGTAAGATGTGCTGGGAAACAGTGCAGAACTGATCTCAAAGGATGCACACACTCTTTACGCAAATATTACATAAGAATTTACCACCAGAGCATTAAGACTGCAAAACCAAGTCCTCATTAATTGGGAAATACCAGCATTAAGGGGGCCTTAACTCCACATATCCAATTCTTTGCATTCAGTTTTGTTGTTAGATTATTTGAAATCTGTTCTGAGAAAGCTGATTTCCTCCCTCCCCACCCCCCAAATTCCTATCCCCACCAGCCTCCCTCCTCTGCAGGCATCTGTTGCTTTGCCTGCCTTACTGACTAATTAGCAAATATGTAATTTTTTCCCAAGTGCTTAACCCCAATCTAAATGTAAAAGGTTAGCACTAAGAAATATATACCAAGATGCACAGTGTGTGAAAGGGACAGAAATTGAGCCCTTAAAAAAAAGAAACTAAAACCAACTAGAAACTGCTCTTTCATTGTTTACTATAGATCACAATGTAAAAAAACCTGAAAAATCTCTTTTTTTTTTGAAAACTGCTTTTCTAATAAAATGTAATTGAGATACTAAGCAATTTTTAATCAACTTCACATTCATTTTACTCCCAGACACTTGGCCATTCTCTTCGTGTCAAATAATATTACCCCAATGTAAAGCAGTTCCAAATTTTGAGCCAGAATGCTGTACCAGCATTCTAGCTATTCATCTCATCCTATTAAGAAAGAGAAGTGAATGCCTGTATTACATTTTATGGTTTAGACAGTAGAACATAACAAGCACAAAAAGCTGAAGAAAGAAAAGGACTCTAATGAGTTGTCTGACAAAACACATTAATTTCAGACCACAGAAAATATCAACAAATCTAACAACCAGAATTCAAACTGCTGAAATGATTGGTGTGAAATTATCAAATTAGACATTGTAATAATTACAATTTTTATATTAACTCATGGGAAAGAAATGTTTTAGCCTTAAGAATGAGCACATCAACATTCAAAACTAATGACATGTGAAAATGACCAAGAATATAAATAATGATCTTAGAAACAGAACCTGCTTTTCTCAGCTTACGCAGGTCACACTTTTTATCAGCTAAAAGTGCAAAGTCTTAACCATCCACATGACAGAAAAAAACAACTAGAACCTGTTTAATGTTTTTCATTGATGTTCATGTTAGCCTAATATATTCTTCTCATATCTGCCATTGCTGAAATAATGCAAAAAATCGTCCACTACACATGCACACTCACAGCAAGCCATCAAATTTCTGCTGTTTGAGCACATACTGATTCTTATTGAGGACTGAAAGCAGCAAAAGAGACATCAGAGAGGCAGAAAGTGAGCAGGAAAGGATGAAGTAGAGCCTAACAAGTCCTAGTATCTCAGGTCTCAGAGTTCTGAGTTTTGAGTTTTTGAGGTTTGAGTTGAGAAAGAGGCTTAGAGCTATGAATAAAGAATCTGTTTTCAACTGTTTATTTTGCTGGGTATTTTGTTTTGTTCCTCATCTGCTTTGGACATTATTTGCAACTCCTAAAAGCTTGAGTTACAACCCCTAGTATATGCTCCCATTACTGATTTTCTCAAAAAGAAACAACTTGCACATTTCTAGCCTCTGGCTAACTACCTAGATCAAAGACAATGAAAATAAGATAAACAAAACCACAGACCGGTGAAAGCTTCTCGTTCAGTTGGTCACTGAGCCATGCAAAATGTGCCAGGCTGTGCAACACAAGAGTACACCTGGTATTCTGCCTAGTGATAATGACTAAAATTAGACTCAGAAAAAAGGACTCTGGGTTCTGTATTCATATGGTTTTCCTAAATAAACTATTTTAAAAAATTCTAGTATTTGCAAAGACATATATTTTCTGCATGACGTGTCATACCAGAAATAACATGGAAAGAAAGGTATTTGTTTCACGCTTTACCTTAAACACTTTTTTGCATTTCTGCATGATGCATACAGACATATTAAAATATAAAACAGACTTTGAAAATAAGCAGTATATGCATTTCCATTCTTTCCCCAGTCTCATACGGCCCTATTACAAACAGATAAACAAGTCTGATACTACATCTGCCAAACTACTATTTTGATTTTAAGGCTATTTACAAAGCTTTCAGAAGGAGGAAAAATTTAATTTATAACAAACCTTTTAAGCTTTTCCTTAATTTATTAGTTCTAGATTGTAGCATCCTCAATTAGGATGCTCTCTTGCAAGATCTTACAGGTCATACTGTAAAATACAGTCTAAAGTTTAATAAAGTTACACCACACACAAAGATCCTAAACAAAGAAATCATCAAAATCACCCACACTCAAATATTCGTATTCTACAAAACACTGTCCCTGTAATAAAAGAATCAAAGAAATAATTTGCTGTAAGGGAGGTGTCCAAGTCACAAGTGAATATTATACACTATGATTCAAGTGTTACATACAGACATCTGATGAAACAACGACTTTAAGGCAGCAGTCAGGAACTTGTCCTGATGAAGACTCACTCAGCAGTTACCACTAGATGGAGCAGATTATTTGAGTGAGGATTCCCTGCACGATATGGAGGACACAGCCAACGCAGCGCCTGGCTGGCCCTTATTATCTGTGTCTTGACGCCCTGTACTGCTCTTTACAACTGTGAAACACTCTGGTTCCTTGTTGCAGTCCATACAGTACTCTGTGGCAAACTATATTCACATAGCAATTCAAGATATTCTATGTTTTAGTTAGACCTGTCACACACTACAGTGCAGTTACTTAATTAGTGGATTAGATTTTAGATACTGCTATCTTTGTTCTGCTACAGAAAAGTGAGCTTCTCTCCAGATTTTTAAATTTTTTTCTTTAAAGACAAATATTTTATCCACAACCTGCACAGAATCAGATGAATATAACTAATTCATAAATCTACTAGGAGCTACTAAATAAAAGTATTTTAATGGACTATATTCTATTGGATCATCCTAAAATGATACCTTTTGGATTTAGGATTCAATGGAATGTAAAACAGGCAGCAAACAAAGGCAGTTCTTAAGCAGATTAAAATTGCATGGTTGTCTGCCTTCAAGTTTCAACTAAATATAGAACAAAAGTGTGTATTTGGAAAAGAAAAAGGGAAAAAAAAGATCATGAACACTAGCTCTTCAAAACCACAGCGACTTCACTACAATTTCATCAAATGTAAAAAGAGGAAATTCAATTTGTTTATCAAAAAAGATGGAAGTTATCCTTGCTACCTGAATACATATATGTTGAACAAAAACTTAAAAATGAGCCCATGGTATTTTTAACAGGTATCTCTTTGTAAGGAAATACTTACCTTCATAGGTCTTTGGTGGCAATACTGATAATAATTCATAAAGTTTCTGTCTGTAAACTGTTGATGATGTTTTCAAAGAATTTCCATATGATTTACTTATTGAAGAAAGCCTTAAAATAGAAAAAGCACATCAGAGATGTTAAACATGTTAACATCATGCAACACTCCCAATTTTCTTTGTAACACTCAACTGAATACTTTTAAAATCTATACATCATTTAAGTACAGTTGTGATTTATGTTACCAATAGTAGAAGGAAAACAATTTATTTCACATGTTGTGACAGGTCTCTGTACTCCATTCCCAGCCACTACTTCTATTTCATACTAGAAAAATAAATACGGCTTTTTATTGCCTCTGATGGTATTTATATTTATTACAATTAAATTTTTTGTGGTTATATCTCTGTAAATGTGAGTTTAGGGATCAAATACATTAAATCACTACATATTCTGAAGGTGAAAAATTAAAAATAATAAAACCATTTCCACCTTAGCTCTGACTCTAAATTTAAAAACTGCCCATCTCTAAAACTTTTGTCCAAGCATGCTCTGGAATATTGTTTTTGATTTTATAAAAAACAATCCTGCTTAAACACAAATATGCATGTTTTATTAAAAAAGTAGAATAAAAACACTAACTTAACAAAAGCATGCAATAATTTCCTCCCTAGATTTTTACATCAAACTGGAATCTTCAAGACACATAATGCCAGCTAAAATCTTCAGCTATACAGGTGAATTCTATATCGTAATTTTTGTACTTTGAAAGGAAAGTGGTTAGAAAGTGCAACAAATCAAATGCAAGATTACTCTGTAGCTTTACAAAACCAGAATCTTATTTAATAGCTTGATACACACACTTACTGTGTCAATAAATTAACAGCACTTGGGAGAGGAGGAAGAAGTCTCTGAACAACTTCATCCGTAAGAAGACCAGCACAGTGGGAAACAAAACTTTTGATAGCTGGAAAAGGAATTGGATTAAACAAAAAAAATAAAATAGGACAATGATGTTGATCAGATGGCTTACTGATTATTTGCTAGTTTTCTAATTAAATTGCACTTAATTACTGTACTTCATATGTATGGAAGTATTTTTCATTATTTACAGAGAATAAAAAATGAGGTAGTAGTTCAAAGAGCACCTAGAGATTACAGAGTATTAAATATCTATTTCCAAAAGGAAAATAAAATATTGAAATGTTCATTGCTTAGTTTACTTCTAAAATGAAATTGGTATTGAATGCCACAGTTTCCAATAAATTTTAATAGTGAGAGGGAGAGGTGGTCACTAGTATCTACGTACTAGTACTCTAGAATACATGACTGAAACACATTAAATACTTGAAGATCACTGGAGTCACCTCTTGGAAACCCAAATTCACATATTTCATAATAAAAATTGCAACCTCCTAGACAGCAGTTAAATATACAGCACTCATCACTGGCTGAGAATTGCAACTTCCTTATTGCTTTTTTTTACCAGTCTTCGCACTGTCACAAATGCGTTTGGCTGACTCATCAATACTATTTTGCTTACAGTAAGTCAGGTATTAGGAAACAGAACTGCTATTTACCAAAGACAACAGACTGTATAAACAATAGAACATATCCTTGTTTGGGTCCTTATTAATTAACATATGTTAAGCAAGAGAAGAAAAGCAACCTTCCCGATATCGTTTACTATTTGGAAGCCAACTGATTAGAAGAACAGGAGGAAAAACTCTTGGGTTTTTTGCCTGTTTGCTTTTTAGAAAAATAAAATACTTAAAGAGATAAAGACGGATAGCGGGATTGAGTGTATCCGCAGCAAGTTTGCTGATGATACCAAGCTATGTGCTGTGGCTGATACCCAAGAGGGAAGGGATATCATCCAGAGGGACCCTGACAGGCTGGAGAGGTGGGCCAGTGCCAACCTCATTAAGTTCAACAGGGCCAATTGCAAGGTCCTGCACCTGGGTCAGCGCAACCCCAGGCATAAATACAGGCAGGGGGGAGAATGGCTAGAGAACAGTCCTGAGGAAAAGGACTTGGGGGATGGTAGAAGATGAGAAGCATGACATGAGCCACCAGTGTGCACTCACAGCCCAGAGGGCCAACCTCATCCTGGGTTGCATCAAAAAAGTGTGGCCAGAAGGGCTAGGGAGGTGATTCTGCCCCTCTATTCTGCTCTAGTGAAGCCACAGCTGGAGTACTATGTACAGCTCTGGAGCCCTCAGCACAGGAAAGACACAGAGCTGTTGGAGAGGGTCCAGAGAAGGGCCACGAAAATGATCAAAGGGCTGGAGCACCTCTGTTGGGAAGATAGGCTGAGGGAGTTAGGGCTGTTCAGCCTGGAGAACAAAAGGCTCCAGGGAGACCTTATAGCAGCCTTCCAGTAGCTGAAGAGGCCTACAGAAAAGCTGGGGAAGGGCTTTTCAGCAGAGAGGGCAGCGGTAGGATGAGGGGTAGTGGTTTTAAACTGAAAGAGGATAGAGTAGGTTAGACATCAGTAAGAAATTCTTCATCATAAAGGTAGTAAGGTCCTGGAATAGGTTACCTAGAGAGGTTGTGGAAGCCCCTTCACTGAAGATGTTTAAGGTCAGGTTGGATGATGCTTTGTGCAGCCTGGTCTGATGGGAGGTGTCCCTGCTCATAGCAGGGAGGTTGGAACCTGATGATCTTTAATGTCATGAAGTACTGTTGTTCTTTCAGAAGGAAAAACGAAAACCAGCCAAACTATAAATATGCAGAGAAAGACACAGTAAAACCCACTTACCACAGAGAGCACCAGCACGACCTTCCAGTGTTACTTGCCAGGTAAATGAATCTCCTCGTGTCTTTTCTGTTTCTAGGTCTTTAGGAGATGATGGAAAGATGCACTTCCACAATAACAGCATTCGTGGCAGATGGTGTTGGACAACTGCAGGACCTGGAAGCATCACCAGTTGTCATGCCAATGTAAGGATTAATACAATATTTTTTTCTCTTTTTTTCTTTTATCTGTGTTCATGAAATCATTACAGCTGTTAAGATAACTTTATGCTACTTTCCCAGCTGTCTCATTTACAATTTCTCAAATGTTTACTGTCTTGATACTCCGTTCTCATATAGAACTACATACCCACTGAGACATTTACAAGTACGTAATCAGGCCAACTATAATCTGTGTTTTACTAAGTAAAGAACCTGTGGATCACCACCAAAAAAGAGATGTGATAAGTAATAATGATATTCAGAAAAGCAAACATTTGTTATAGGTCAATGTACGAGGTGCGTTTTCCCTAATTTAAGAAAAAACTGGGAGCTGTTGGGCAGAAGTAATAGCTGAAAACATGAAAGGTGTCTTAAAAACATGAACAAAACAGTAATTCATGAGTAATTCAGTGATCACAGTCAATAATTTTACCACTAACAATATCAATAAGTTCCGTAAGATTTCAAATGCTGGACAAGAGTGAAATACAAATGATAAGCTCATTTTATTCTGGGATAGATCTTAAAAAGCTATCAGTGTAATTCTTCATGACCACAAAGACATTTTGATAGATTGATTTTGAAATGAATAACCTACATTTAATTAACAGCAGTCCCACCCAGTACCTGTTATTTAGACTCTCAATGAACTAATAGCAAATTTGGATGGAATTACATTTTCATTTTAGAAAGTTTTCTAAAGATTCAGATTTGTATCGGTTTCTGAGAGTTATTTGGCAGTGCTAAAATAAATGGAACATCAAAAGAACTGAAGTCAGAGAAAGCCCACAGAATTCTTTTAGCTTAAGAAAAATTGTAGAAAGTTACTACCTAATGTCATGAGGGCTGCTACCAACAGCCATCCAGCCTGTGTTCGCTGCAGTGAAACGCGACTGTTCTGAGAAGCAGAGAACAACAAATCCTCTGCTAATGTCATGATTACCTTCAAAGTTAAAGAGAAAAAAGGAGATTCAGCATCTTAGCAAATAAGAAATGTTTTTTCAGTACTATTTGCTGTGATACTTAATCCTATTTCAGTGTCTCCAAATAGAATCCCATCTTCTCACACTGTAGCAGGAAACTCAGGCTCCAGCTGCTATGACCAACTCTAATACTAGCTTGGGACAGCTTCAACAGTTCCTGTGGGGTACTAAGGAAGTCACTTTGCTGCTCTGTTTACTACTTTGTTTTCTACTGTGTAGAAAAAGGATAGCATGACACCTACAAATTAGAGCTGATAAAGTGGCGGAAGGGATAAAGATAATTCTGTCCCTGTTTTAGAATAAGGTCTATCATTCTCTCTGATAGTTTTAACAAATGCTATGATGGAGCAAACAAGTTAGAATGGTATGGTACAGTTAGAATTAATCATATCTTAGCTTCTTCATAATAACAGCATGTGCCTACAACTTTGTGCTAAAAGTAAGGTAACAATCTGAGCTTGTTACCAGAGCTCATGCGATCCGGATTTTACATGGAGGAACACACTGTGTGTCTTGGACAATTACCACAGTCTGCCTACAACTTAAAAAAATATTCTGCAAGTGGTTTACTTCAATTATATTTCATATATACCCCAAAAAAGCATTTCTTATATCTTGCTTTATGTCTTGTTGCCAAAAGAAACTGCATGTGAATTAGTATTACAAGTAAGAAGTGTCATTATCAATAGTGTCATTAAAAGCATCAGGACAGAAAAATTCCTCCTATAATTTTTGCACACTGTGATTTATTTGGACAATATCGACAGCATCCTTTTTTAATTTCTTTGGAACATAATAAAACTTCATTAATGTTTGCATATGAACATGTGCTTCATGAAAGTTTGAAATTTGTACTCTTCCAAAACCTCATTAAATATTAACAGTCTGAAAATATTAGTTTAACTAACTCCATAACACCATCAGATGGTTGAAAATGAAGATATTTATTTTGACAGATTCTTGATAGATTTAAAATATTTTATTCTAAAATTGAAATGCATCTTTGTTAAACTGTATACTTAAATTACCTGATAAAGAAGCATCCAACAAAGGATTTAATTTAATTATTTCTGACAGTCTTTCTCCCTGTATACTAGCAGAAATGTCTTATTTTTGAAGGATTTTTTTGAACTGAAGCGTAAGCACTAGTATGGAATGCCAAATATATACAAACCCACTAATTATTTTGTTCTCTTGAATAGGTTTCCAACTGCAACTCTAACCACTCTCTCAAATGAAAATGCAATACAAAACAGCTTCTGTCCAGGTCACCACTGTCTACATTTGATATTTCCTTTTCAAAACTGCTCTGCTAAACACTGGTCTCTTTCAGCTCCTCAGAAGAAGAGCTAGTCTGGAATCTGGCAGTGTTCCTAGGAGATAATGGAAAAGGTCTTTTGTCAGCTCTTCTGTTCTCCCCGCTGCCAGCTTAGTACAGAATACAGTGTTTCTCCCACACCTTTGTGCCCTTCTATACCTCTTCCTGGCCCTATTTCATCCTATGCTGAAATCTTTGCTAAGAATTATGTTTCTCTGTTACACAGAAACTTTAGTTTGGCTTACGTGTATAGTATTTGAATGGCAGTTCTAATCTATATAACTGCGAAAAGGATACTAATTTTGTTCTCTCCCTGTGCTCTTTCAGCAAGCACAAGAACAAGTTTTTAAAGACTGAGAAAAACGGGTGGGTTTTTTTGTTACATTTAAAAATAATTTCATCCTCAATTGGGACTTCTAATATTGAGAACTGTAGCTAGCAATGTCTGTTAAGGAGTGGCTTGGAAAAATACTGAAAGGGTGGGCTGGAATCACTGCAAGGAACATTTTTTCCTCATGTACTAAAGCATTCCTTTCATCTTAAGAGTGGTGTAATAACCAGAAAAAAACCTCACAATCCTTGCATCACACTGTGCCACATCTATAATGTCTATTGGCTCTGAAACAGTATTTTCAGAACTGAGAATGTAAGTTTCCACGTTACGCAGAGAATTACTATGATGTACTGCTAATACTTGTATTGCACCATGGTTTTGCAACTTTGAGTAACTCCATGGATAAAATTCTCATTGAGACAGAAACAGCTTATTCTCCTGGTCTGTAATTCTCCATCTGCACATCCCTAAAACTTCAGAGCACAGTCATTAATGAGCCTGGGAAATATTAATTTGGCTTAATCTGGTTAAACGAGTTTACTTCCAGGAAACTTATTTCTAACATCACAGCATCCAATAGATCTGCATGTATACTTCTAATTTTTTATTTTTTAATATACATATAAAGGCAAGATCTTTTCCTTTGGCAAAGTCTGATACATTTCAGCTGTACATATACCAGACAAGCCTTTTCATACAATTAGCACTGCTGAAATGTCAGCTTTCTCATTTAAGCCAATGTCAAACTGGGCGAGAATTGCAGAAGGTTTGATCTTGCAGTAAACACTTCAGATTGAAATTCTGAAAAATGTAACTCTACTCAAGAAATGTTTTCTCCAAGTAAACCTTTCTGTAGACTGTTCAATTTAAGTCCTTATAGCTTTACAGAACTGACCTCTGTCCCAAAGTAACAAACAAACATCTCCCCCCCAAAAATTCTGTTAGAAAAAAGCAGCAGCCAGTGACATTTCCTGAGAAACTGTCAATCCTGATATATGTGAGAAAAAAAAACTTTCTTATCTGAGTTATGATATGCTTCAAAATCCCCTTCTTGGGGAAAGAAAATATCAGTTTATTGGCTTATGTGATCATATCATAAACAATACTTGCAAATACTACTGCATAAACATTGAAAAACTGCCTATAAGTAAATTATTCAGACCATACCTTTCCTTTTCCATGTGGAATTCCTAAAGGACAATGTTTTACTGCACCCAGCAAAGCAGCAATAGCAAAACTGTAGCCAGTTACTGCTTCTGGGGAAGATTTCAATGTATTAAGACGTTCAATGCAACGATCCAACAGTAGGGACACACAGGAGGGCAATGCTACTGCAATACAGCGTAAACACCAGGCTGCTGTTAGTCTAACTGGAATGCTGGGATGAAGAACGACAGAAATTACTGCTTCCAGAACTCCTGGAAAAGAAAATGCATAAACACAATTAAGAAATAGACAAGCAGATTGTAAAACATGCAAAAATGTATACAGAGGACTGGTGAACATGCCACTATAGAGCTTCTGTACTCCTCTTTAAAAAATACTATTGATTTTTATTGTGAAATATTTCTTATAAAATTTAAATACTTCAATACTTCAAAAAAAGTTATTCTGTACGAAAAACAATATGGACTAACCTAACATAGTATGCAGCTATTCACCAACATGCACAGAAAATACCTGCAAGTATTCTCAAGGAAGCAAAAATCCATGCAGTGGAAACAGATGTCCACTTGAACTCATACAGAAAAAAAAAAATAATTCTCACTGCAGTTAAATGAAAACAATAAAGATGGATAAAGACATCCAGCTAAATCAAACTGATTTACCATAAACATTACGAAGTGTTGGACTTCAAAAAAACCTTAACAGAGTCAAATTTGATACTGATGATATTTTTTTAATTAACATACTACTACAGGCCAGAGAAGATACAGAACACTTCAAGCAATGCCTGAAGATTTCCTTCAGCATTTAAGACAGCCAGCTTCCCCACTTCCTTTTAATTTTATTTTTTATTCCTTTAGTGGAAGGAAACAGAAAAGGATAGAAGAACTAAGGAGGCCCAGGTGAGAAACTTTGCTATAGTCAATGCCAGACAAAGGATCCCAAGATTTGAAAGAACTGGCAGTCTAGCCATAAGAAATCAGAGATCACAGTGAACAAAAGAGTATATTTTCTACTCTGGTTCGCAAAATAATTCAGACTTTTACCTATACTGGAGTCTTGCAGTAGTGGTGCAGCTGTAGTTCCTAAGCCATGAATTAGACTGCCGAGCTCCTGAAGTGCGCACACCAGCACATGCTGACTTGCTGTTACATCCGCTGCATTAGTTCTTGTTTCCAAGTTAGTGTCACTCATTGCAGCATCTGGTAATATAACACAGGAAGATCCCCATGAAATCATTATCAAAATTAAACAAAAAGGTCAGAAAAAGGATTTTGCTATGAGAAGTTATTTATATTACCAAATCAGTTTTTATCATTACCTTCTTATTATTTATCAATTTTCTTAAAAATTTACTTTCACTGAGACAAGCAGTACATTTCTGTTACTCAAATGGATAGTGTAATAAAGTTTGTTAGGGCCGGAGAGTAGATAAAATGGGAACTACCAAGTTGCTTATCTTTAAGTAATGGAAAACAGTGGCCAGTAAGAAACATGCTATTCTCAGCCTCACCAGAACTGACTTAAAGAGGCCAGGATTCAATATAACTTTCCAGATTTTACTCCATAGCAGGAAGAAAGAAAGGGAGGAAAGAGT